CCGCCGACTCGGGGCCAGACACACGCCCCGACTCCGGCACACGCTGGCTGGGCGGAGGTGAGCGCTGGAGCGTGTCTGCTTGTTTCTTTCACTCAGCTTCTAAATAAGCAGAAACTTCCCTTGAGGTTGGCTTCATCTCCACAAGGATTATTCCCACCCCAGCTGAAGGGTTTGAACGCAGATAAATAAAACGTGGGGTATTCACACAGTGGCCTGGTGCAGCGCTTAACAGGCAGGATCAGAGCTGCCGGCATCAGCAACCTACATGATCATAAGATGCAAAACATACCTACTCTAGGATGTCATTTAGGCGACTTGCTTTAAAACCCATGTCACGCTGTGCGATCGTAGAAGGTGGACTGTAAAAGGTGTCCCAGGTTCAGGACGGTGGCTGTCTTTGGGAGGCATGAGGGGGATGAGGGGGAATGAGTCTGGCCTGAGGGCTGAGGTGGAGATCATGCTTACCTGTAATTTTTGAATACATAAAAATGATGAAGCAAAGATGGTGACATATAAACACTGGAACCGAGAGCGGTGTTGACTTGGGTGTTTTTAATGATCTTTTCTTTTTTCCTTCTGGTTCTAAGTCTTTCTCAGTGTAAGAGGTTCTGGTTTTCAAATGCAAACAGAATAGTTATGCCTGGGCACATGCTGTTGCGATGAAATGTAAACAGTTTTGTGGGAAGTTGCAACTTTCTTGCATCACAACTTAGAGTCTTCAATTCCTGAAGATGGCAGGTGTGTACCTAGGGGGCCTTAGCTGCTTGGAAAAGCTCACCTGTGGACGGCCCCCAAAGTATGAGCCGAAGGTCAAATGCTCACATCAGAGAGGAGTCTGCAGTGAATAGTCTGATAATTGGCCAGGTCAAGGTAGAATCTGGAAATTTTCTGTGTTCTTATAAAACACATAGCTCTTTCTCTTATATTTCCTATGTTTAGGAGGTTCATTTCCATGGGTGGTGACTGTTCTCTTGACATCTTGAAACGATGCTTACGTGACACTGCAGACTTAGTACCAGGTCAGAGAGTGTTAAGTTTGGTAGGAGAGAGTCAGTCCTATATAGCTCTCTGGGCCCATTCAGCAGAATGGGGGGGGGGAGGAAGTGTTTCCATTTTTCTAGCAGAGAAAGGTTGATTTCTTTCAGGACAAGAGGGAAAGCTGTCTAATTTGGTTCTGCATGTGGGGAGAAGAGACAGACAGTGCTAAACTGGATTGGGTGTGCCAGGTGCGATGGAGAAGCCGCCACCTAATAACTCCATCCACCTCTCCCTCCCGTTTCCATAGCTTCTTCCTGCTAAAAATCACTGGGTCTTTGCTGAACAAAATTGTCTGCACATCCAAATGAAATTCTGAAATGTGGCAAATTGCAGTAATATCCCTCTCACTTTCTCTTTCTGATTTGACAACTTGCAAGGTCAGGGCTTGGCTGCAGGAAGATGGGCTACTTAAGAGAATCCCGAGGTGTGAAGAACATATATAAGAATGACAGGCTTGGGGTGCGGTGTGAAAACTTGGGTCCTGAGGCTTGATACAAAAAATAAACGAGAATGTAGCTCCCCGCCCTGTCGGCTGTGTTAACAATCGCAATTCCTTAAAATCAACGTTCTCTTTAGGATCAGTCCTCTCTAATGTCATCTGTGCTGCAAGCCTTCACACTGGTTCCCACTTAGTCTGGACTCTAAATGCAATAATAGAACACACAGGGCACCCTGATGGCTCCTTCCCAGCCCACAGCCAAACACTGAGGCATCTCACTTGCTTCCTCCGACCCCCTCTTCTGCTGGAATTAAAAGCCCTTTGTCTTTTAGCCTGGAAAGACTGTTGGGTTCTTTCTGTTTTCCTGATCTCCGTAATCCCCCTGGGCATCCTCCAGCCACCTGTGACCGCCTGCCTCTCCCTGCCCAATCCCATACCTTTTAATTGGTTGCTTCCTGATTGCTGACTCTTTGCTCTCGCTTTAATGGTTATTTTTAAAGTTCATAAGGCACGATGCCAGCAGTTGGCTTTTAGTATGAAAAGTAGCATTTCCTTAATGAGTCTGCCTTCCAAATGAAGGCTTTACTTACATTTTCCTGGCTGGAAAATAAGCTTTTGTTCTAGGCTTGTTGAGGGGCTTCTCAAGTTCTTTTTCAATAACATCGTTAGGCCAGGTTCCCTTGGGACACTTTCTTCAATGATGTCTCTCATCTGTGTTTCCTTCATGCCAAAAAAAGTCCAAGAGGAAACCAGTCACCAGGTGTCAAATTAAATGAATGCATAAATAAATGAAACAACACATCGATGTTTCTCTCTCTCTCCCTCTCTCCCTTTCTCTCTCTCTCTAAAAGTCAATTAAAAATAATACATGATAAGGAAATACTGCTACTATTAAAAATAGCAGTAGCTAACATTTATTCTTTGCATGTTATGTGCTAGGCATTGTGCTAGTTGCCTTCCATATATTACATTAACTATATCCCATGAGCTGTATTTCTCCCATGCATGCAAGTAGCTCAGGTAATATAGCTAAAAATGAATTTTTAAATACTTTGTATAAAATCTCCATCTTTGCCCATTTTTGGTAGATCTGAAGGTCTGGTTCCTGGGCCCATGTTTCTACTTGGCAGCAATCTCTTAGATTTCAGGGCAGTGACCTCTTTTAGATGGAGTCTGTCTTTTCCATGTTGCCAGTGTCCCCACCAGGCACTAATGTCTTCTGGTCTGGTTCACTGATTTGCATTTCTGCCTGGCCCTTGTAGGCATCTTGTGGGCTTGTGATTTTTGAGGAAGGCACAGTCGTTTCCCCATTTTACAGGTGAGATGTGAAGTCACTCACTGCCCAAAGCCATTCTCAGTGTCAGTTTTAGAACCAGAACTCTGGATGCTGCCTCTTTTTACCAATTTCAAGGAAGGTAAAATTATTTTTTTTCTCACCCAAGGATATGCTTATTGATTTCAGAGAGAGTAAGGGAGGGAGAGAGGGGGAGAGAGAGAGAGAGAGAAGGAGAGAGAGAGAAATATCACTGTGAGAGAGAATCATCAATCCATTGCCTCCTGTATGCTACCCCACCAGAGATCGAACCTGCAACCTAGGTCTGTGCCCTGACCGGGAATCAAACCTGCAACCCTTCGGTGTCCCAGATGGACGTTGCTCCAACCAACTGAGCCATCTGGCCAAAGCAGCAAAGTAAAATGCAATTAGGTTTAAAAATTTAAAAAAAAAAAAAAGAAGAAGCCATAAATGTATATTTTTCCAGGACTTTTTAGCCCTCACATATATTACTTAATTTGAACTTCAGAGTAGCTAACAATTATTGAGCACTTATGCAGTGAAACTACTTTACATATTATCTCATTAAGTAACATTTCATCTGCCTTTGCAGTAAGGACCATGATCAAGCTCAGGGGAAGGGGAAAAGAAACATGTTAAGCGTATACCCCATTTGTGAGGTATTATAAAGCTATCATTCCCTGTTCTCTCCTTGATGTCTAGCTAAGGCTTCCAGACCTCTGTTGAGTGAAGATGAATGTTTCTGCCAAGATTATGTAACTGGAGGATCCAGGTCTGGGCAGACGACCATGGGAGCCAATACTTCAAGCAAACCCCCTGTTTTTGATGAAAATGAGGATGGTAAGAAATGTGTGATAGTTGTGCATAAAATATAGGATTTTGGACAATTTAAATATAAGCTCTTAGTTTCTTAAGCGTATTTCAATGTACTGCAAGGCTAAACCTAAGGACCTTGTATGCTCATGGTTAGATTTTACCTCCCACTGCTCCCACTTTCCATGGGACTTCAGGCAGCTGCCTTAATCATGACTGTTCCAATGCCCTTTGTCCAAAGGGAGCTGTTTGTTGGACACCTGGTCAATAGGAGACCTTGAAATGAACCGATTTCTTTGTTCTCTGTGCTATTCCCCTGACAGTTGAAGTTACCCCTACCTACTGCTAGTTATTATAGCAAATTTCTTATATTATCGAATTACATGTGGGTGATAATGGCTGCTCATAGAATGAAGTCATTAAGTAGGTGCTCTCTGAGCCTGCAGCTGCCAACGTGCGGGGTCTTAGACAAATGCCGCAGTGCTAGGGCACAGGAAAAAGAATCGGTGGAAGACTTTCAGGGCCAGGCTCAGCAAGAAAAGTAAAGACGTGGGTCCTGATTCTCAGTCACCCCCCAGCGAGGCCCCGAACCAGGCAGGTGCCTCCCCTGGTCCCTCTGGAGGTCGTGGAGCAGCCCAGTCAGTAGGCACAGGGTAGCAGCTGTTGGTAGGTCCTTAGGAAAAAGAAGGCCCCAGCCTTTGGGTAAGTTGGCCAGGCCTCCCAGAGGGAGCCCCAGAGTCATTCCCAGGAGCTGTGCTAAGTGGGCCTTAAAGGAAACGAACAACCAACTGAGATTCAGGAGACCCGAGCGCCAGGCCTGCTTGCCAGCTACCTGCGGGGCTCGAGTTCGTTTGTTCCCTCTAGCTTCAGTTTCCTTATCGATGGAGTGAGAGACAGGCGAACCTTGACGGTCTGATTGACCTCAAAAGGTTTATCATTTTCCCATCCTAAAGCCACTGAAATAATGATGCAGCAGCATTGGAATCACCACGGAAAGCTGGTGGTGTTGGCGTGGCCGTTTGATCCCTGGGAGGGAAGCTGAAGCTGCCAGTGGCTCAGACGACGAGATGGGCAGGGTCCCTTTCTCATGCAACAAGCGAGGCGTAAGCAATGGGCGATATGTGGCCCCCGAAGGCTAGGAACTGGGGCTCTGACGAGCTGGGGCTCTGACGAGCTGGCTTCTTTCCTGCCCTTTCCATCCCGAGTGTTCCTGTCCCCCTGGTGCCTCAGGCTGGCTCAGCACCGTGTCCGATTCCAGCCAGCGGGAAGGGGAGGGGAGGCCGTGCCCACTCCATGATCTGGTGGTAGCTTGTCACTGTCACTCGCATGCACATACCTAGTTACAAGGGACCTGGGGAAATTAGTTTGTTTCGTCATATGGCCATGAACCTTCTCAAAATAAGGAGTTCTAGTTTGTTACCAAAGAATTAGCTGTTTGCCGGGGTCATGGGGTCAACAAGAAGTCTGCTACAATCTTAGTCTTTGAGACTTTGGACTGACCCTTTTGAAAACAAAACCCTGACTGACCAGTATGCCTTGTCCCCCCAGCTATTCACTATTAATTTAGGGCCGCGTTGTTATTGCCCGTACAAAATATTGCATAGGAACCCTGAAATTATCTACTTTGAAATGGTCTTAAGAAAACTGTTTTCCACTCGTATTTCCATTGCCTTGCTTTCCTTAATCAAGTAGGAAAGGCAAGGACCTAGAGACCAGCGATGTTACTTGATGCTTCCATCTCTAAAATGGGAAGACAAGTCGGCTTGGACTTTATTTGTTTGGATCACTATGCTCCCTATGGATTTACAGCTAATGTTGTACGTGGGGCTGGCTGGTCCTTAGAGAACAGAGTAGGAAAGAGAGACCAGCTTCAGGCTCGTAATTTGCTAAGGGCATGTGTCACGTTAAGGTATTGGGATAGCATTAGAAAGAGAAAACACAGAAATGCCTGAATCCTCCTTAAGTCGGCCAGCCCTTTTTCTCATGGCGTGCCCAAGAAAGTTACAGGGCCAAGGAAGTGTGGCCAGTGGGAAATGAGGTGCCACTTCATAACTACCTTCAAGGAACCCTGGAAGCACTTAGGTCAGGGTAGGGTTAGGTTTAAGGAGCAAGCAGTTCTTTCTTGACACACTCTAGGTTTCCACTTTTTTGTTTCCAACTCCCCCAGCCAAATGAGATGATCCCACTGCAGCGCCCGTAAGAGAACTGCTGAGCAGTACAGTATGTCTGTGCTTGCCAGGGGCCAGGGCTGGGTCCGTTTATAACACAGTTGCAAGGCAGAAACTCAAGGGCAACTCTGCCTGCTATGAGTCTGTCACCCTGGAAGACACGAGGAACAGAGGAGAAAACAAGATGACCCGTCCCCTGCCCTTGTACGGCTCAGATTCTAATGGTGGAAGGCCATCAATAGGCAAGTAAACTTCAGACAGTGTTCAGGTGCCTCCAAGGAAAGAACTCAGCGATCTCATGAATGCGACAGGGTGATGGTGGAGACCATGCTGGACAGGGGATGGTCGGGTTTGGCCTCTCTGAGAAGGTGACATTTGATTTGGAGCCTGAAAGGTGAGAAGAAGCTACTCATGCAATGATATGAGGGTGGTTCAAGCACAGGAAAAAAGCAAATCCGAAGTCCAAACAATGACAACATTGGGAAAGAATAGTTGCCTGTATCATAATATTCTGATGAGCATGAGTTTGCATATTATAAAACTGTAATTTTGTAAATCAATAAGTCTTATAAAGTTGATTTGGCTCCTTTAATAGCTCTGGATTGAGCACAAGGTAAAATTTTATTTGATTGCTGCAGAGCTTCCAACCAAGAAACAGAAACAACAAAGGAGAAAGCGCTGACTAATCAATTAACATTAATGCTTATATCATTTTGATCTCCATATTTTAACATAAATCAAATCGGGCCAGAACCTAGGGCACCAAAATGAGCCAATTTAATTATTTTAAAAATATTGCTGACGAGAATCCCAATATGTGATGGAAAAGTATTTAACATTTCCGTCAGTGTCTGTTCCCAGCATTGGTTTGAAGAAAATTCAAACCGATTTCCCTGAGTAGTGTTTCAAGATTTCTTCCCCATGGAAAGTGCTTTGGTTGACTTTGAAGGCAATTAAGGGGTAAGATGTGTTATTGGATGTCCCTTGAGATAAGCTGTTCTTGCTAGAATTCATCCTGACAGTTTGCATTTCCTGTTGTTCCATCTGATACTGATATTGAAGGAATTTTCTCTTCCTTACTTCTGTTGATCTTCACTTAGTGAAAACAGAGTGTAAGCTTTGCAGTACTGTTGGACCCGGTAAGGTTTGCTTATTTAACTAATGCTAAGTCAATTTTTACAAAGTAGATCTCAGATTATACTATTGTTTTGTTCCGTGCCTCTAGCTTTTATATTTTAGTGCACACCTAAGTCCTAATTACTTTTTTTATTGTGGTAAAATATATATAACATAATATACCATTTTAACCATTCTTATGTGTGGCATTGAGGATATTCCCATTTGGGGGCAACCATCACCACCATCTAGAACTCTTTCATCTTCCCAAAATAAAACTCTGTCCCCATTAAATAATTCCCCATTCTCTCTTTTCCCTAGGTCCTGGCAACCACCATTCAATTTTCTGTCTCTATGAATTTAACTATTCTAGGTCCCTCATAATATTTGTCTGTCTTGTTTCACTTAGTCCAGTGTTTTCAAGTTTCCTTCATGTTGTAGCATGTATCAGAATTTAATTCCTTTTGAGGGCTGAATAATATTTCATTTTGTTTTTTCTTTCATCCATCGATGGACATTTGATGGTTTCCATCTTTTGACTATTGTGAATTTGACTGCTATGAGCATTGGGGAACAAATACTTGTTTGAGTCCCTGCTCTCAATTATTTTAGTTACATGTACTTAGAAGTGGAATTTCTGGATCCCATGGTAATTCTTTAAGTTTCTGAGGAACTCCCAGACTTGTCCTCCACCTACTTATGCTTAGTGTTTTAGTCATGGGAAACCACCTAGCGTAATGGGCTAAAAGCATGGGCTCTGGTATTGGAAAGACACGCACAGGTTGAAATATCAGCTGTACCGCAGAGTAGCAGAGTGACAATGCAAAGGGGACACAGCTTGATCAAGCCTCGTAAAACACTAACGTCAATTTGACTAATTGGAAAGTGGTCCAGAGGGACTTGCAATACCGTGAACAAATGTCTCTAAGCTTAAACAATTTCTAGTGAGTTCATTTGAAAAAAGCAAAAACCCTCTATTATGCAACATATTAAGCCTCCTTAGTTTCTTCGTATGTAAGCAAGTAATAATTGGGTATACTTCATAGGGTCATTGTGAGATTAAATAAAATAATGCCAGTAAAACACTTAGGAAGGTGTCTGTCTCCCATAAAGTAATCACCCAGTTAATGCTAATGATAGCATTATTTATTAGCATCAGAGCCTCTTAGCATGAACTCTCGGAACTACTTCAACTTCTGAAAGGAACAAAATTGATTAAATGCAACTCTGTAGATGCCATAGTCACCATGACCTATCACAGTTCTATCAATGGAATTGGATTAACGGATGGCAGAAAACCTATATAAAAGTCTTCTAAAAAGAGGCCGAGTTATTGACTGCACAAAAACAGTCTCATCTGGTTTCCCTTTATCTCCCCTGAGGCGACTGTGTTTTTATTTCAGGCAAAATCAAGAACTCATTGGGCTGAAAATCAATAAACTTGACTTTTTCTGACTTAGACCCAAAGCTGCCTATTTAAGTAATCCCAGTGGATCCACTGACACTGTGACAATTGCCTCCCCTACCCAACTGCCACCTGGATACTCTGAGAAATAATGAATGGTGCAGAAAGACATTTTAAGTTTTCTGAAAGAAAAGGAGGACAAGCGATACTTGTTTTTAATGTTTATGACTCTTTTCCTTTGATCTATTTTATTTCCTCTATCTGAATGCAGTGGTTTTGTTTGTTTTCTGTGAGTTGGGTGGCGGCTGCTTCTCCCCC